CTTGCTTTTAAGTTTTATGTTAACATGTCTTATTTCCACTAGTAGTATATCAATGGTGTTGTGTGGATTCTTCTCTGATCCCATGAATGGAAGCAAATCAAGTTCTAACAAGAAAGGAACCAACACTTCACCGGTTAAAACGGTCCGAACAGATATGCGGTCCACATACTCATCAGACCTGAAGTCTTACACATCCGCTTGTCAAAAAGACCCTAGCCTCAAATCCTTTGATTCTTTACTTCACCAACGAACCAGCAGAGTCCTCAACTCGCTTGCTGCTCGAGCCGAGGCTCAGTCTTTATCTCTAGATCCACTCATGGAGGTCTACGGGTTTCTTCTTGAACTAAGCCAAGATGCGGTAAGTGTCATCATTGAAAGCAGAGAAGATGTGTGGAAGAACAAAGATCTAAGGTCTTTGGTTGATGTCTACTTCAAAAGCACCTCCAAAACCTTAGATTTCTGCAATACCGTCGAGAACTGCGTCAAGAAAACAGAGATTAGCCAACTTATCATTCGATTCGCGGTGAAACAGTTTGACGCAGAGTCGGTAGACACGGATCTTGGAGGAAGCAAGAAGAAGTATGCGAAAACACTAGAGGAGCTGAACAAGTTTAAAGCCATGGGAGATCCTTTTGACGGCGACTTCGTGACTCAGTACGCATCGGTCTACGAGGAGCAGGTTTTGCTTCTGGAGGAGTTACGTAAGCTGAAAGTAAAGCTTGATAAGAAACAGAGGAATGTAAAGACATGGAGAATATTATCGAATGTTGTTTTCGCGACTGCCTTTGTCTCTGTACTGGTCTTATCAGTGGTTGCAGCCGCAATGAGCGCATCTCCTGTTGTGAGTGCGGTCGCGTCTGGATCGACCGCACCAATTGAGGTTGTTGGAAAATGGTTTAACGAGATGTGGAAAGAGTACGAGAAAGCTGTAAAGAGACAGAGAGGTTTGGTTTTATCGATGGAGACCGGAGCGAAAGTTAACAATGTAGTGACTGAGAATATAAGAGTCGAAGTTGATAAACTGAGAATCAAGATCTTATGGATTCTGGAGACTGTGGAGTTTGCTGTGGAAAGAGGAGAAGAAGAGGTGGCTACAAGACTTGCGATGCAAGAAATCAGGAAGAAAGTTGATGGGTTTACTGAGAAAATCGAGGAAGTTGGTGAAAATGCAGCTAAATGTAGCAAATTCATTGCTTTGGGGAGACTTCTGGTTTTGGGACACATCATTAAGTTACCCTCTGATTCAAAGGAACTTGTGAATATCACCAATGGTGGTGTTTAAAGACATTGTTGTTGAGCACTTTGTTCACTCAACAGCACTCTTTGAATCACATCATTTGGTTATGGGCTTTTTAAGTTGAGTTTCTCAGGCCCACTTAAAAGGACTTAAGAAAACCAAAAAAAAGACTGATTTATAGTCGTTTATTATTATTAGCATTCTCTTGCATTTTAAAATTAAGATTGAAAAAATAAATTTCAATTCAAGTAGATTTCAGACCGAAGATACTGTTCTTATCATATACTTTTTAAACACTATGGTTCTAAACGGGGAAAAATATCACATTCCAATTCATTCCTAATTTTTTTTTTTACCATTTATACATAATAAAAGAGAACATAGAAAAAATTTGTTCCCCATCTAATTTGACAAGGAAAAAAAAAATACAAAAAATAATTGGTAAAAAATCTATCAACGTGAACACTATTAAAAATACTTATTCTTTTTTTGTGTTACCATTTATTAGTAAAATTTTATTTCATTTCCTCTCTACATATATTACTTTTAATTTGTTCTTTTTTATTCCTTTTATTTTTTCCTATCATTTTTTTTGTTCGTTTATTGGTTACCAGTTAGCGCCTGATGATATTTTTTTTGTAAAACTTTTTTCTGATTTTTTGTAAAACTAATTTTATTAAATAAAGTCAAATGAGTCTATATATGAAGTGTTAATTGTATGTATATCACGCAAAATAAAAGAAAGAAATATTACTTCAAAAGAAAAAAAGCTTACTTTTATTTCGGGTTTCACATTTTTAATAGGATTAAATATTTTAATCCTATTACATTTTCGGTTTTTACATTTTTAATATGAAATTTGTTTGACAAAAAAATAGAACAAATATCTTTCAACTG